AAATGCCATAGGGCCTTCAGGTTGCGGTGACGCGACCTGGGGGCCCTATTCCAACCTCAGGTCCCGTGAGGGGCCCGTGTGTAGGCTTTCAGCACGTAACACCTTCTGAGTCCTGACTAAGGATGAGGAGACGGATGTCCCGGTGTATCTGGCAAGAGTCGTGGTTCTTCTCTGCTCGGTAAGGCTGAGGAAATGGACCTCCTTTGTACCAATCTCGAGGGTTATGGGTCTTCTCTGCTCGGCACCCTTGTCAGCACAGACTCGAGTTGTGCGCTCAGCACTCTGGCATTCATGGGCCTGTTCAGATGAACCTTTCTGTCTCCCAATGCTCTCATCTTGCCTTGAGCAAGATGCCTGCTGCATCCTCCAGGACTCGGGAGTATAGTTGCATTCATCATGGTTAGGACTCAGCAGTATAGCTGCATTCATCATGGTTAGGACTCAGGAGTATAGCTGCATGATTCATCATGGTTAGGACTCAGGAGTATAGCTGCATGATTCATCATGGTTAGGACTCAGGGGTATAGCTGCATTCATCATGAGCAAGATGACATACACAGCCTGCTCGCTGCATCCTCCAGGACCCAAACCTGTTTAGCTTGCTTCTTGCAGCTGTCTATCTCCCTGTGACCTTCGAAAAGCGATCGGCTCCGCTCTCACCACACTTTCATTCACTCGTCAGAAAACCCACGTAACGGTACTGCCAGGGGAGCAGGGAGCACAAGGCCTAGGGAGAGAAAGGGAGAGAAAGAGAGAGAAAAGAGAAAAAGAAACAGCGAGAGATTATGGAACGATGATTTGTGGGCGAGAGCCGCAGAGAGGAGAGAGAGAGAGGACTGGGGTGGGAGGGAAATGGAATCACACCGTCATCTGCATCAATAAGACGTTACGTGCAACTGTACCATGTTCTTTCTACTTCTTAGAGGCAGAATTATGCGGAGATGGAATGTCACCCCTGGGCTTCCTCGACTATTCACAAGTGGTGTATGGAGGATGTCTGGATGAGGCTCTTTGCATCTTGTTCTGCCATCAGGAGAATAAGGACATAAGAAGGTCAGGACGACAAAGGATACGAGACTGCCCAATGCCCAAGAATGTAAGGTGGTTCAAGAATTCACATGGCTACTTGTTGGCGTCAAAAGTCTTCAATGCATCTTAAGGTACCACTGT